TATTAAATTTGCTTAAGTTATTGCTGAATTATTTTTGTTCAAAAATTTAAAAAAATTTACTTAGAAAAAATTTGGTGCGTTTCTACTGACTCACCCCCACTTACGAAATACATTTCTATGAAACAATTTAAAAATTTTTCATGGAAACGTATTTCGTAAAAGTCGACTAGTAAAAAGTTGTCCAGGTTTCATTAAAATTTCAGAATATACGTAATTTGTTAGTGTAAATAAATTTACTCCGAGTGAAAAGGTCGATTTACATAGCATTGAAGGTCACTTACTTTATTGCCAAGTTTTTAATTCGTCAGAATTCCCCCGGAATTATTTTTATGCAACATATAATCGATGATATTTCGTGATTCAGTAATCAGACTTGAATGATCTTTGTATTATTCGATTCGTCCCGATGAGTCAAATAGAATAAAAAGTATCTGATTTGAATTATTGAATCACGAGATATCCAAATTAGTCAAATTACCTTTTCTATCTTATGATAATTTTTTAACGGATATTCGAAATATCGGATCAGACTGCTAGTTATACAATCTATATTAATTTATATTTACATGATTAATAAGTTTGTAGATTATATACAGTTAAATAATAGTGTATTTAAAGTATATGGTCTAACTCAAAATACCGCAACAAATGAGTATATATTAGTATTTGATTTTAAAAGAAATATAAATAATGGACGTTGTGCAAATTGTAGGAGATTTAATACATCTAAAGCTTGGTGTCAAACATGTGATCCTCAGAAAACAAAGCAAGGATGGACAAGTGGAAATAAGGATGTCGATGATTGTATTAAAGAATTTCAATTTAAAGCCACATCTTATGAAGATGTAATCGAATGGATTCCTTTTAATAGATTAGATAATGTTCAAAACATTGGTAAAGGTGGATTTGGCTCTGTTTTTTCAGCAACATGGTTAGATGGTAAAAGAATAGTTTCAAACAATATGCAGTCACGTACACCATCTTGTATAGTTGCAATTAAAACTTTACCTGGTTCACAAAAAAATTTTTTAAGAGAAGTAAGTTAAAACAATTTATATATGATCTAATATAGATAAATTATAGATAAATTATTAACATTATAAATTTTATTTTATTTAATAAGTTTAAAAGTTATACAGAATTTAGATTAATGGGTAATGATCTTGAAGTGTATGGGCTAACTCAAGATACAACTAATAATGAATATTTGATGGTATTTCAATACGCAAATAGGGGAAGTCTACATAATTTCCTATCTTCAAATTTTAGAGATCTTAACTGGAAAAATAAGTTGAAACAGCTTGTCGATATATCTAAAAACTTAACAAAAGTACACAATGCAGAGTATGTTCATGGAGATTTTCATAGTGGTAATATATTGCAAAATCAATATGTTAGTGGGGATTTAATATCTTATATTGCAGATCTAGGATAATCTAGAAAGAAAGATGATTCTAATTTAGAAGATGGTGTTTATGGCGTTTTACCTTACGTTGCGCCAGAAGTATTAAATAAACAACCATATACAATAGCTGCTGACATTTATAGTTTTGGCATTATTATGGCTGAGATGTCTACGGGAAAACCTCCTCATTATGATGTTGAGTATGATGAAGCGTTAGCTATTCAAATCTGTTGTAATGGATTGCGTCCTGAATTTATTAAAGGTACTCCTGAGTGCTATATTCAATTAGCAAATAAATGTATGGATGCTAATCCTTGTAATAGACCAACTGCATCTGATATCCGTGATGAATTATGGAGATGGTATTGGATATTATATAGTGGTAGTGCGAAAGATAAAAATGAATTAGAAATATTAAAAGCATTCCAATCTGCAGATGCAATTATTCCAACGTTTTCAACCAATTTGACAAATTTCCCTAAAGATAAACTTACAAGTAAACTGCTTAACTTTGAAAGCCTTTCTATGCCGATTGGTAAATAATTATACTTATTATATCTGTAATTAATCGATAAAAATTTTAACTATTTTTAATTTTTGTAGGCTCTAGAAAATGTGATATTTTGATTCCTGATGACTAAGACAACGACATTTTACGTGTATATTTATTAATTTTAATCTTTAAAATATATATAGCGATAAGAATATTAATTTATCCATTTAAATCTTTCGTCCCTATGTCCGATGAAGAAGTATCATGAAATGAATTTTATTAATCAAATCTGCATCTATTAAATCGGATATTCAGATCGAAAAATCTCGGTACAGATTAGAGGTGCAGGCGAATCGTCCCAATGATGCCGTAACTATATTAAATAATTGTAACTTTTTATAATTGTTTAATATAGTTACGGCACGTTACGTCAAAGTTACGGCATCATTGGGACGATTCGCCTGCACCTCTAATACAGATTGAGCACATTGAATCTAATCCATCAAAAAAAAAAAAAAAAACTATCGAATTATACTAGAAAACGAAAATCAAATATAAACATCACGTGGAATTATGCAATTGGAAATAGACAAGAAATTCAAATTTACGTTTCTGATAATCATACTATAAATGTATCAAAAACGGCATTGAGAAGCGGAAATTTTTTGTATCATTTGGCGTCAGGGGCCCGTGAATCTTGCGTTCCTTATATGCAGCAAAATCCACAGGTCCTTATCTGCACATTATTACATAGATCTATATAAAATTTTTATGTATATAAATTATATATTTTTATATAGAACTATTAGATTTTAAAGTTTAAATTAGGGTTGGGGAAGGTTTTCGACCATGCTGAGCATTTTTACGAGCGGTGATTACCTTAGTCACTTTTGAGAACAGCTAAATTCGATTAAATTATTTTTATGTAAATATAAATAAAATTTATAGAAATTTTATGTTTATATAAATATTAAACAAAATTTATATAAAATATTATATTAAATTATATGTAAGCATTCTAACTATATAATTTACATTGGGTTTGTAAGTCTATATAAAAAATTTATATAGCATTTATATAACTTTGTAGAGCTATAAAAATTGTACTGCTGATGCGTAAAAATCTGCAGCTACACTCCGACAGTAAATGACGTTAATATTCTAAGAATATTCTTTTTTTGCTGATTAAATGTTCTATGGAAACGAACAAGCATTTTTTTTTCTGCATATGAAATAAAAAAAGATAAAAAAAAAACCACAATCTAATTAAATTTGTGAAAATGCCTTACGACATAATGTATTGAAATTTCTATAAATGGTTTAGATAACTGTAAGAGTGATACATAACACACCAAAACCTTATTTAGTCCCTTTGTTCTAGTTCCTGTTTTATATATATTATGAATTCCATTATTTATACAAGACGTGCGCATTTATTCTGGAAATGCGTAACATTCTCGGAAGTTTGCACCGATAAATTATTATTTTTTATTTTTTTTTTCTTTATTAAAAGAAGTGTAATAGTTTACACCGATAAAAGCTTTATCTTTTTCAAAAAAAAAGTGTAAAAGTTTGCACCAATAAATATTTTGTCCTTTTGTTAAAAGTTTTTTCAAAAAAAAAAAAAAAAAATGGAAATTAATGCTGGAGTTTCAGGTGCTAAAATTGCAAGCGATCTTGCATTTAACATTGGCACGGTAATCCCATTAATTGCTCTTCCAGCTATAATATTTAAAGAAATAATCAATTTAACTGAAAGAGCAGGACATAATAAAGCAATTTGTAATAGGTTAGCTGATCGTATACGTGTTGCAAACCAAGCTCTTGATAAAATTATTGTAAAAGATGAAAATGACTTGGCTTTAAAAGGTTATGTTCGTGCCATAACCAAATGCAAAGAGTTTATTGATAAAATTAGCAAGTCGTCGCCATTTATGAAATTGATTGCTGCTCGCGAGGTAATTTTAATTAATATAGATTATTCGTTCAACTATTCACCTCATTATAATTATTTATTTAATTATAATTATTAACTCTAATTTGATTATTCATTCTAATTTAATTATAGATTGAAAATAATTACAACGAAATTACTAAAGAATTTGATTCAGCAATTGCACAATTAGGATTAGCGACTTGTCTTCGAACGAACAGAGACATCGAAGACGATCAAAGAATATTCCATGCTGATATTAAAACATCACTTCAAGTCATAGAAGAAGTTATGCAGGACTTGTTTGAAAACGGCATGAATAATACCGAGAAGATTAATGCAGTCGAAAATAAGTTGACTATGATTCAAATGGCCATTACCAATGATCAAAGTTCAGCGGCAAATAAAATCTTTAAAAAATCTCAGATTTCTGGGAATCAAATTACTGATCATATAGAAAATGGAAAGGAAGTGAAACGTGGTGACGGACAAATCATTAAAAAAATTATGAGCGGAGTGCAGCCAGTTGCTCAAAAGGAAATCGCATATATCGCGACCTTAAGATCTTCGGATGGTAATGCTACAGAAGATCCCGCAGGAAAAATTGAAAAACTTGAAAAGCAGGTCTCAATTCTTACAGAGCTGAAAAACTGCTTGAATATTATAGCCTTGTATGTTATATTGTTTTAAAGTTATTATGAGAAATACCATCATTTGTAATTAGATTAATAATTTATTGTACAGTTATGGCACAACGCAGGTTAACGGTAAATTGTACATTATTTCGGAATGGGCAGAAATGGGGGATCTAAACACCTACTTGAAGAACAACCCAGGCCTATCATGGGACTTTAAACTAAGAATAGCTTCTGAAATCGCTAGTGGATTAGCATTTTGTCATTTCTGTGATATTTTGCATCATGATATAAGAAGGTTTGTTATATTTTCCTATTTCTAATGCATTTTTTACTGTATTCTAATACCTTAATAACTTTTATAACTTTTATAACTTTTATAACTTTTATAACTTTATATAACTTTATAACTTTTATAATTATAACTTTTTATAACTTTTATACTTTAAATATTTAGTCATAATATATTATTAACGGACAAGTTAACGGCAAAAATAAGCAATTTTAGCTCTAGCCGTAAAGTAAACGATTATACAATGCCTATGAAAAATATTATGTTAATATACAGGTAATATATATAATATTATATAATATTATAATATTATAAAATAAAGCAACACAATATTGATACTTTTATATTTCAGATGGCTTTCACCTGAAAAACTTGCAAACTATGCTGCCACACCCTACTCCAAACAATGTGATATATACAGGTATATTATTATTGCAAATAAAAATAAATATATTAATTTAAATAATTTATAAAAGATTTTTAACGTTAATTTTTAATTTATAGCTTTTCAATCGTGCTTTGGGAGCTGGCGTCTCAAGAAATGCCTTTCTCAGATGTTACCAACGTACCAGAGTTAGTTAACCGTGTTACGATACTAGAAGATCGACCACCACTAATAAGTGGTACACCAGATAAATACGAAAGGGTAATGAAATCAGGATGGAGTCCACAACCCATACAACGGCCAACAGCTGACACGATATTCAGAGAATTGAAATCGCTTGTCAGATCATCAAATCATAGGGCTAATAGTGCTGGTCTTGATTCATTTATTCCTACTCGACATGATTCAATACCTTCAGCATTAGAAGCCGATATTCAATCCACATATTCAAACATGGTAGAGGATGACTTTGTTGAAATCCTCGAGTTTAAACCAGATTTTCCAGATATTAGTGAAGCCAAAAGATTACATGGTGAAAAAAAATATGGTGAAGCGTATAAAATCTTCAAATATCATGCGGATCATGGAGACGCGGCCGCAGAATTTTATGTTGGTTACTATCTAATTTCAGGTGACCATGATGTGCCACAAGATAAAGAACTAGCGGTAGAATATTTCCGTCGTTCAGCAGAAAAAGATATTCCAGACGCACAATTTAGATACGGAGTCGCTTTACTCAGCGGCGAAGGAGTAAAGAAAAGTGCCGAGAATGATAGGATTGCTATAGAATATTTAGAAAAAGCAGCAGTTCGTGGAAATATTAATGCTATGTTTAATTATGGAGATTTATTGATTAATGGTGCGCATGGTGTTCGACAAAATCTATCAGAAGGTGCACGTTGGTTGAAACAAGCACATTTGAAAAAGCATCCTCATGCGTATAAAAAATTATCGGAAAAATATAAGAGTTTAGGAATGGACATTCCTCAAGAAATAATTGATGGACTTAAACGAATATAATAATGAACGTCATCTTGAATTTATTTTTTAAATTATTTATTTATAATTATAAACATTATAAACATTATAAACATTAAATAATTATACATATTTTGGACTATTACAAAACTTGGTATCAGTATATTTCATTATATAAATTATTTATCCATTTAACAAAATTAGTAAAACTTTATTTTGTTAAATTGACTTTAAAGAGATTTTATCATAACGTGTTTTTTTCTATCCAACTTTCCCTCTTGCAATGAATCCTAATTCCTTAATTATTTTTTCAAAATCAGTACGTATTTGGTATAGCATTTATACATAAAGTTTTCTTTAATACATAGGCCAATAAAGAGTATTATTCATAGTAAGATTTGTAAAATTTTATAAAATTTTAATTGAAGATATTTTAATTTTAACTAAATTTAATAAGTTTAGTTTTTATTTGGTTGTATAGGTGTTTATATATATTTT